AGACAGACAGACAGACAGACAGACAGACAGACAGACAGACAGACAGACAGACAGACAGACAGACAAAAGAGAGGACAGGACAGGACAGACAGACAATCCTTCTCACCCAAATTCTTTTCCTTTATGAATTATTAAATCAGGGTGATAAAATTTGGTTTGAATTTTTTACTAAAATTCACACTGAAAACCTACCAAATTTGAACCACAAGCAAACAAGTTGTGTTTATTTTAAAAGCTTTACAGTATCTGAGAAATGCCTTCTACCTTTTTTCTCCTAATATTGTAAAAATCTGCAGTGTTGTCTTTGCAGATACTTTGAAGAGAGTTTTCTGTTCAAGGACGTCTAAGAAAGCCGTACGGCAACACAATGTTGTTTTCACATGCTTGCCTATTGAAAAGAATCTGATACTTTCTTTCCACACCCATTAAATAAGGCAGTGTGTCAACTCATAAAAACATTTATATGGTACAATAAATAAATCTTATAAAGACAATAATAGATAAAAACAGAAATATTCAAAAACTGAAGCTGATGAAAAATATCTAGAATCAGGTAGATTGAAAACGCACTGTGTTATTGTCTGGACTGTAGAAAAATCTATAAATGGGGAAACAGCACATGAAAGCATCTCATCTCAAGACCAATGAGGAAGAGAGATGTTGATAGCAAACGACATAAAGAATTTTACATAAGAATTACACACACATACACACACTTCCAGTTGACATGAAAATGGATGCATGGCATTGTATAATACAAACATCCCATTTTTTTTCTAATCTGGGATTATTTTGCTCCTTCTAACATTCATCTGCTATCAGTTAAGGTCGATTATTGCTAGTTGATCTAACACGGATGTATTTCTTAAGGCGATTTGCCCCGGAGATGTTACTTCAACTTTGTCCTACTTCTCAGACCTTAGATCAGGTCAGTTTCACTTCTCCTAGCAACTAGTGATGCTTGGATGACTTAATAATGTCTCCAGGAAAAACCATGTCATTTGTCATTTGAGATTTTTGAGTTACTCAGTGATTCACAACAGTAACTTGTGCATGCTGAAAGAAGAACCAAGTCTTTTTTTTCATCATTCTATGCAAAAGCTAGCGTTCAAGTGAATGTATGTATCATTTGATAGAATAGTCTGCTTCCCTAACTGCAGTTATTCAGAATGAAAACTATATATTCAAAAATCACTTCCCTAAATTAAATCCCAGTTGTTTTAGTCATGCTTTTCCTATGAAAAACTTGAGGATGTGTGGCTAAATATGAACTGAAATATTATTGTAAATAACATTTATTTCCTAATAAGTTCAGATCGAAAGCTCTCTTACTTTCTCTATTTTTATTAATTTCCCAAATCTCTGGATGTAAGAAAAGGGAAAAATATATTTGAACTTCATCCTCAATTTGGGTTTTATTATTCTTAGTCTTTATACTTCAGCTTTATAAGAAATTAGATTCCTAATATTGACCTAACTTGCCTATGGTTATAGCTCATAATTCTAGTGATTAAATTACATTATCCAGGTATTTTTACTTTGAAGCTTAATAGCCACTCTTAGTCTCTCCTTTAAAAATGATGTATGCCATAAATTTATAAGTAATTAAGGATATTAAAATAACATTATTACCTCCATGACACTTTAGATCTACTAGTAGTTACTTGTGTTCTATTATCGTGTTTTAACTCTTTTATTCTTTCATGTTTCATGTTTTTTGTTGCTTTCAAAAATGTTGTTTTAAAAAAGCAGAGTTGAACTGCCCAGTAATAGGAAATACACTGGACTGTGTGTGACCCATCACAATTTTTACTGGGACTCCATTTAATGTATCTGAATGAAAGTGGACCATGTTTGAGATATTATTTGATATTTAGCTATATCTGAAGTTATAAATTTTTCCATCACCAAAAAAGGCAACAACACCAAAAATTTGCCTCCTAAAATTTTAACCTCTAGTCTCATTTTTTTCAGTCTTGTTTTTTTTTTTTTCTAATTATGATGGTAACCCTCTTATTCAATAATCAAACTAGGCTCATGTAACATTTTCATCACTTTGGGGCCTTTCCAAAGCACTGTAGAACTTCATTGGTCAAAGGTCACCATTTCAGCTGGTGCATGGAGAAGACAATGACTCGTATTATTCAAATCCAGAATTCATTAGTCTTCTCCATCGAAATAGAACATACACAGATAGTCCTCATCTTGTGACCACAATCGAGCCTGTAGCTAAGCGAGACAGTTGTTAAGAGCTTTGCCCTATTTTACGACCTTTCTTGCCACATTCATTAAGTGAATCATTGCAGTTATTAAGTTGGTAACACGGTTGTTAAGTGAATCTGGCTTCCCCATTGACTTTGCTTGTCAGAAAGTTACTGCAAAGGTCATAAATATGAACCAGTTGCCATGCATCTGAATTTTGACCATGGGGGTGTGTGGCTGCGATGGTCATAAGTGTAAAAAACAGTTGTTGTAAGTTGATGACTCCCTGTATTAGTTTTCTATTACAAGTTTGATATCAACCTGGGTTGCCAATAAATAGGAACAGAAGCTTGGGCAAGAGATGGAGAAAGTAATGACAAACAAGATTCCATGTTTACTAAATATTTCCTTTCCATGCCCTAGTTTTGAAGACATAAAGCCAAAACAGCTGTAACACTTTTATATCCCCGCTTCTTCCAGACAGAAGGAAGCCCTTTAAGCATTCACACAATCATCAGCTTGCATAGGAAACCCAAGGTCATGATGTTGGAACTGTTATACATGAATAATGCAAGAGGGGAGGCTTAAAAATATGCTCGCAACTATTAATGACGTGGATTTACGCACCCGTCCTTCCACTGCAGACCAAAAATGACAACTATCCATAACCCTGGTTTTATTGTAAGCCCTCTTCTGAAGCTGATAATGCCAACAGTCTTATGCAGCTCTCTTCCTGAGGGAGGCGCGATTACAATTTTTATAACTCTGAGTAGGGACTGCAAAATGTTTTAACCCTCTCCTATCACTTAAATCAGGAGTCCTCAAACTTGGCCACTTTAAGACTTGTGGACTTCAACTCCCAGAATTCTCCAGCCAGCATAGCTGGCTGGAGAATTCTGGGAGTTAAAATCCACAAGCCTTAAAGTGGCCAAGTTTGGAGTTCCCTGACTTAAATTAACCACAGCAGCTATAACGTTATGTGTGTAATGTTTTATTAAGCCCTTTTACAATCACTGTGGGATTCCTTTTTCTGAGCCTGCCCTCATCCATCCAAAGGAAATACTTTCGTTTTCTGGAAAATACCCAAGGGAATTTGCTCTGGAACGCTGTTGTCACCACAGGGATGTATGTCTAATTTTACTCAGGATGAGAAAGCAAAACTTAGGGGGTGTTTTGCTCCTTTGCTTGCTGAAGTGTTTATCGAAGTCTGCATCCTCACAGTTCTGCTCCAGCCACCAGCTTACATTACATTCAGTGTCTGTTTTTTTCGTTGTTGTTGTAAGTGCCATCACCTGTCTTTGAGAGCGAAGTTTTGTTTTATGGTTAGCACATGTTTGTCTCTGGTCACGGCTTCACTCACCTCTTGTTTCCCCTCCTCACCCCTTCCTTCTTGCCTTTTGTTAACCCCTCCCTGTCTGTCCAGGGCGCTTCAGGTTTAGACGGCAGGCCTGGCCCACCGGTGAGTGTCATTTCATTCTCCGATTCCCTACGTTCCTGTTCCCTGATGCTGTGATTTGTCTCCTCTGTCCTGCCATAATCATATTTGTATCACTGTCTTTCCAACAACAGAACAAAACTAGAATAGAACAAGGGAAGTTACTTGCATTTTGATGCTCAACAACAGTACAGTACAGTTTCACATCCAAACAAGTCCACAAAGTTCCAAGGATTTGTGATAATTGGCCTCTTTATTTATCCGTGTAATTATATTATGTAAAGTATCTATGGAGATTCTCAATCATCCAGTCATGGTTATCCCAAAGATGCTTTTTCAAAAGGCAGCTGGGCTTTCTTTCTTATTCCTTGAAGACATTTTGCTTCTTATCCAAGAACATTTTTGAAAAAGCACCTTTGGGGAAATTGTGCAAAATACAAGTGAAACCTTTGCATGCAGTTGTTGTACATGTGATGTACCTCTGTTGTCCTATTGTCAGCTGTCTATTGTCTTCTTTTTTTCCCCTACCCATTAAAATCTTGCTTAAAGCATCTCCACCCATTTGTCTGGGCCAAGAGAATGCACTGGTTGTGAGTTGTATGAATGAAAGCAATTCTGTTACTCTTTCATTTCAAGCTACTTAGAGCCTCCGTGCTCTTTATAGATAGGTAGGACTCTTAGAAGTAAAACCACAACCATCTTATTTTGCCAGATGTCAAATTTGATGTCCTACCCTGGCAAGTGACTTCAGTTTCATCTATGTCTAAATTGGGCAATGATTTTGAATTTTAATCAGTGGATTTCATGTAAATTATGGGCTGGTGGCTTAACAATGGTTTGGGCTTCTAGTCTGGGTTTAGCTAAATTCACACCACCAGTTATACTCCAATTGTTATTCATTCCCCCCTTGCTCACAGACAAATGGTAAATATGAAAATTATGTGAGCTGAAGAAAACACTGCTGGGGGAAAAAATACAGGTTTCTTCTTATTATGAAAGTAATAAATAAACTTTGTTTTATGCAAAAGTTGGTAAAATGCAGGATATGCATGAGGAATTAGAGACTAAATATAGCTAAAATATATTGGAATTATTGACTGTGTTGATGGGTTAACTGTCTTGAGTTAAAAACTCCTTTTTATTAATCAGAATTTCAATCCAATAGATTAATCCATTTTCTCCCCCAAAGGATTTCCAGATTCCTCAAAATGGACAATTATGTCTATCAGGTTTCATACCAGTTCACACAGTCCCTATAAACTCAATATTTTTTTAAAAAATGCAAAATATTTGTATATAACTGATGAACTATGTATCACTCTTTTATAATTAAATGCATTTGTGTTTTTTTTAATGCTCCTTGGAAGGGAGCTGTGGGGTAGAATATATTGTTGTTACGTTTATTATTATTATATAATAATTATATGTATGTAAAGATATCTCGTTGATTGCTTACCCAATACCTACCCCAAATTTTCATGTCTCTTGTTCTTGACATTTCTGGTTCCGTTAAAGTGAAGTTAAAGAAAGTATAGCCTGAAACATTTTTTTTAAAGTAATTTCTCTTCACCCTTGCTAACTTGAAAGCCTCCAGTGCAAAGCAACTGAGTGTAGTGTGCTACAGTGCAAAATATTTGTAACTGTGTATGGGAAAGACCTTGGAAAACTGAGTCAAGAGGTAGCCTGCAGCTGGATAATGGGAGGAACAAGAACGGAATGGGATGACTCACCACAGCCAACCCATCATGGGAAAACTCACTGCAGGACAATTCAACAATTCAATTTAAGCATTTAAGATAATGAAAGCATTATTTTAATTTTTGTCATTTCCTTTTCATTTGTCCTTCCTTTTGCATTATTTCTTTAATGGTTCTATTCCACCATTTTCTTTGATAGTACTGTAACTTTTGTCCCATGGCAAGTTGCCTCATGGTGAGTTGGCCAGGGCAAGTTGTCCCATAACTAATTGGCCGCAGTGAGTTGGCCGCGCCAAGTTGGCTGTGGGCGAATTGGCCATACCAAGTTGGTCTTGCCGACTCGTCCTGGACCTGAACAAGAGGCTCAGAAGAGATTCTCCCAAGTTTCTATAGCTGTAAAGGAGAAAGATGGTAGAGAGACAAATGTCCTTTTAGACTTGCAGTGTTCTATTAATGTACTTTTACAACAAAGTAGGCGCAGCTCTTTTCTCTTGTTTCCTGTCTGGGCTACATCTAGTAAGGCTGACATCAATCTTGCAAGTCTGAAAGTACATTTCTTTAGACTCAGCGCATCTCAACTCTCTTTCAAGACATCCCTTCCTTGCCAGAAGCTATGCTGTACATCTGTGAATAGTATTGCGGGGAGGAAAAGAAAAAGAAAAATCCTACTGAAGAATTATTTATTTCAACAGAGGAACCTTTTTAATATTCTCAGTGAAATCAGAGAAGCCAAACAGTAGTTAATAAGAAACTTTAGTTTACCAGGGAAGTGTTTAAACAGTCATTCTTCCCAGCTGCAGTTTGAAGTGGTACAACCAGGGAAATGTAATTATTCTGATTTTACAAACTGAACCAGAAGATGGATAAAGCTACCGAAATTCAATTTAAATTTAAGAATGCTTGACTATTAAAAAAGAAAGAAAGAACTTGTGAGCTAGCAACAGAGTGTTCCCATTGGGTGTTTTCTCTTTCCTGCTTTAGTGAAGTAGTGCATAAGTAGCACCTGGTGAATAGAAGACTTGAACATGGATGAGTCCTCCTTATGGTGCTGGTTCTGATAATATAATTGCTGTATGCTTTCAGTATGGTTCTCCATCAAGCTGCAAGATGAATTTCTTAGAAAAGAAATTGGTTAAAATTTTACCTGTCTACCACCCAACTCAATTTTTCATAAAATGGTGACAGATTTCAGCTTTGTTGGCAATTGAAGCTGAAGGGATTAAATGTTTCATCTCATTAACTAAAGGACTGTCATTATACTCTTAATCACTCAGACAAGAATCCTACTTTTATATATAATGTAAAACTGTTATCTTCCTTGACTCTAAAAAGTTGTAGTGAATAGCTAAAAGTGAATAGCTTCCATCCTCTTAGTTCTTCTTCTGTTGAGGAACCACCATCTTGTCCAGCTTGAAATACGTTTGAATAACGGGCTTCATGTATTTATTTTTACCCCAAAAATTCAGGGTACTCCAGGACCAGCAGGTGTCCCAGGACCAGCAGGACCGAAAGGAGAGAGGGTGAGAAATCTTTTATAAACAAATAACTTAGAATTCAAGTACATATTTTAAATAGGACACTAATGTCATGCTTAAAATAATGATCCTGTATGATCCTTACAATCGCCAGAATTGACCATTAATGGGAATGTTAATTTAGTATTCTCTGTTACCATTTCAGAGATGCCTACAGGCTATGATAAAAAAAAACCTAATAAATCAAGATAGCCGTCACAGTGGTCTAATTCAGGGGTCTCCAACCATGGCAACTTTAAGACTTGTGGACTTCAACTCCCAGAATTCTTCACCCAGCAAAGTTTTGCTGGCTGAAGAATTCTAGGAGTTAAAAGTCCACAAGTCTTAAAGTTGCCAAGGTTGGAGACTTCTGGTCTAATTGAAGCTCCCCTCCTTTTGATGTATGTCACACATAAAAACAAGTGGAGCTTTGATTGCATCATTACAGCCGCCATCTTGAATTTGGGAGGCCAAATCCTTATATACTCCAATCCCTTTCTCTGTTTATTGAATAAGGATTGAAAGATGCTGTCTCAAAGCCCATAGTAGCTGACAAGATGTGATATAATGAAAAGAGAAATAAGAAAGTAAAGACATTAGGGAATCAGAGTTTTTGAACTCATCAATCAGCAGCTAATATTCACTGTTATGTTTCCTTTCCGCTGCATAGCTGGGTATGTTCTGAGGCAATGTATGGAGTCAATACTCAGAGAAGGAATTAATAAATTGAAACTTAATCCAGATAAGGACAGGGGTGCTCAAGAAATAGTGTTTTGGTCTATGCTACCTGGAATGTTGCATCTCAGATTTCTCATGGTTGAATAATTTGGGTGAACAATCCTTTAGAGGACAGCTGTGATCAGAGATATTACCCCAGTATGCTGATGATACCTAGCTGCATTTTTCAACCCTAGGCCACACAGGTGAAGTTGTTAACGTATCAACCCAGACTATGCAGACTATTTGGGTCTGGATGGGGTAGAATTGTAGATGACCAGGCAGAGGCCAAGGGCAGGGTCAAATATGTCATCAGTTTGGAGTCACTGCACTCCACGAATTCCATTGATTCTTATCTAGCACTAATTTGCCTTGACCTTTTAGTTGTTCAGATTCTTGTGTAGGGGTAGCCTTTTGAACTCTATCCCGGCTCCTAGTTTATCATGCTTGATAAAAACAGACTTCATCTTAATCCTGATAAGACTGAGTGACTGTTTGGCCTCCCTGGGTCAGGTACATTTTTATCATTGGTATTGAATGGAGCAGCACTTCCCCATTCAAGACTGGTGCACAACTTGGGGGTTCTTTGGGACTCAAAGAGCAGATCGTCCCTGTGGCCAGAGGCCCTTTGCACAAGTTCAATCATGCCGCCAATTTCCCTTGACAAGGAAGCTCCTCGGACAATTGCTCATATCAAAGCCAACTCACGATTGAACTATAATTGCAGGGGTCTTCAAATTTGGCAACTTTAAAACTTGGTTTTAAATACTGCTGGCCGGGGAATTCTGGGAGTTGAACTCTACAAGTCTTAAAATTGTCAAGCTTGGAGACCCCTGGACAATTGCAATGCATTGGACACAGGACAGTCCTTGAGTACCATCCAGAAGGTGCAACTTGCTTCAAACTGCAGTGTCATTTCGGTTACACAAGCTATATTGGTTACCATTTGGCTTCTGAGTACAATTGAAAGAGCGGTACTTGTTTATTTTATACAGTATATTGTTGCTTATAGTATGGTGTATTTTACCACATATTCGTAAATTGCCTTGAACTATGAGCCCAGGCAAGATAGAAATATTTTTCTAGAACTGAACTGGAGATGTGCTTTTTGTTTTACGATCCAAAGGAGGTTATTTCTGTAAAACAGCAGTGAGCAAGTGACAGGCTAGGATTTACTGTTAGAATTTGTTATTCTGCAGTCCAAACAGTAAGGGCATCTGACTCAAGCTGTATTGTACAGCAACAGCAAAAAGACAACTGTCTCTCACACACATCTAAAGGAGATGGAAGGAAGTTTATGACCAGGAACTAAAAGTGGCTCTTTATATGTTTTGTAAAGGGACATGGTGTCTCAGTGGCTAAGACGCTGAGCTTGTCGATCAGAAAGGTTGGCAGTTCAGCGGTTCGAATCCTTAGCACCACTTCATGGAGTGAGCTCTCATTTACTTGTTCCAGCTTCTGCCAACCTAGCAGTTCGAAAGCATGTAAAAATGCAAGTAGAAAAATAGGGACCACCTTGGTGGGAAGGTAACAGTGCTCTATGCGCCTTCAGGCATTTAGTCCTGCTGGCCACATGACCATGGAGACATCTTTGGACAGTGCTGGCTCTTTGGCTTTGTAACAGAGATGAGCATCGCCCCCTAGAGTCGGAAATGACTAGCACGTTATGTGCGAGGGGAACTTTTACCTTTACCTATATGTTTTTGTAAAATATATCTATTTGTAAAATTGATTAGCTGCCCTTTTATTTTTAACCACAAGGCAACTCTGGGTGGGTTACACTATTAAAAAAAAACCCTGTACAAAACCTAATGATATAAATACAATATTATAAAACATGCAGATAATCAAACACGCTAAAAGATGGGGAGGGAGTAGAATGAGAAGGGGAGAGGGTGGGATGTGTTGTTGATCTATCAACCATGCCCAATGTGAAAGCCCTCCATTGGACCCCCAAGCCAACTGGTGGAACCAGGTCTTTAAACTCTTGCAAAAGGTCAGGAGGGTTGCAGTAGAAATCACTCAGGGCGGGGACGATGTTTCAAAGGGCAGGCACAGAAGAGGCTCTTCTACTGGACCCCACCAAGAATATTCTGGCCATTGGAGCCCATAGCATGCCTCCTTTGCTAGCATGAAGTGAGAGTGGGCCAATCCCAGTGGCATTAGACAGTCCTTTCGGTCAAGGGTCCCCAGCCCCTGGGCCATGCCTTGGCCCATTAATTACCAGGGCTTGAGCTGTTCGGAATTGGGCTGACGCTGAGAGGCAGGGGATGGTTCTGCTTGAGCAACAGGCAAGTATATGCATGCACACATTTACATGAGTGGTGTGTACACGTGCCCACCACTCACGCGAGTGGAGTTCCATGCACGCTTGCCCGTCACTCACATAGAATGATGCCCTCCCCCTTCCCACCAGTCCTCAAAGCCAGAAAGGTTGGGGAACTCTGCTTTAGGTAATCTGGACCCATGCCATGAAGGGCGTTAAAGGGGATTACCCACACCTTGAATTGAACCAAAAAGCAAACTGGCAGCCAGTGCTGCCCGCAAAGCAGTGGTATTCCATGAACCAACTTTGGAGCCCCAAGAACTACCCATGCCACTCTATTCTGCACCAGCTATAGCTTCCAAATGCTCTTCAAGGGTATTCCCATGTAGAGCGTGTTGCAATAGTCCTAGTGAGAGATGAATAGGGCTTGAATGATTGAATGCAGGGACTCCTGATTCAGGAGCGGCTGCAACAGGTGCCCAATTTGAAGCTGTGTAAAGGTTCTCCTAGCCGTGATTTCCACCTGCTCTTTTGAGCAGGGGCTCCAAGTCAAAGAAAACCCTCATCAAGTTGTGGACCAGATCCATCTGGGGTAGTGCCACCTCATCCAGGACTAAAGATGTCAATGTCCCAGATATTGGGGTTCTGTTTTACCCAATGTCATTTGGCTTGCCAGGGTTCAGTCAGAATCTGTTGTCCTCCTACCATTCATCCCTCCACAGCCTCCAGTCACCATGAGAGGGAAGCAAGTCTGTGACATTCCAGAGCCACAAACACTCTGATATTTATCGTCATATTTATTGTCCCAGTTTCCAAGCCGCTATTTTTCACCTAGCTACAGTTAGTACAACTTACAATGATTAAAAATTAATTTATGAATAGTTGAACCCTCGCTGATGAAGAGGCAACCGTACACTCTGTTGAAATCCACAACTATTTCAGTCTTCCTAATTCTCTTTCAGGGAAATAAAGGAGATTCTGGTTCTACAGGACCGATAGGATCAGCAGGCCTTCCCGTAAGTATAGAGCCAATATTCCTCTCAGAAGATTTTTCTTTAATTTAAAAAATATATTTTTATTAAGTTTCTTTTATTACATCATAAAACATCATAGTTTCATCAGCGTTCTTGGCATCTATACAGGTTCTTGGTTTAAATATCATAATACATTATATTACATTTGTCTAATATTAAATAATAACTTTAACTATAATTACTATTCTTATATCTTTGTATAATTTACAAATTTATATTTTACTCTCTTAAGGATTATTCCAGTTAAATTTCTTGTCTTTTTTCTTAGTTCTGTTTGTTAACCATTTATACCAATTATTCCAAATTTTAAAAAATTCAGAGTCATCTCTTTCAGTTTCAATGTTAACATATTCATCTCAGCGCTTTCCGTTACTTTATGTAACTGAAGATTTTTCATTTTGTGTTAATTGGATCCTACTGGGATGTCTTTTTTGAACATGCTAGAGCAGGATACTGGCTGGGGAATTCTGGGAGTTGAAATCCACACAGCTTAAAGTTGCCAAGGTTGAAGAACACTATACTAGAAACTTTCAATGCTCTCCCTACAAACAAAAACAATAACCATGTTCTGCTTTATTTGCTAAGAAATTGTAAGGCTCAAAAAGGGACATTTTATTTGCCAATTTGCTTTTATTTAAATTCCTGGATGGGGAAAATGTTCATGCAGATAAGCCCACAAGATGAGAAATCAAAATTAGGGAAGGATCCCTTTTGGAGTTCTAGGGCAGAATACCTGGGAAAATATAGGTTATTAGAGGGTACATTTTCTGGATCTTCACAACAATTACAGGTTTGAGGCAAATGGACGATGAGTTTAATTCTAAATATATATAAAACATAATTGTAAAAATATATTATAGGGCTTTCAAGGACCACCGGGTGAAAAAGGAAATCGGGTAAGTCTTCAATTAAGCTTGTCTTTGATCTTTTAAAATGGTGGAATTATTAATTTTTATGGCATAGAATAGATAACATTCTAATAAACTGCATTGGTTTTCATGATTTTTGACAATCATACTGTTTGGTTAAAAAAAATAAAAAGTTTGGAATAAGCTTCACGAATGTCTTTGTTAAACTTAAAATTAACTTGCAATAAATATTTGTTGGCTAATTAGACATATAACATGCCTTGATTCATCTTGATCCTGTTGACATCACACATTAATCATTCTACTTCTACTTATGTTCCATAATTTCTTCTAGATATAAATGCAGCCTTTAATATCAGAATGACTCCCTACTAAATAACCTAGCAATACCCTGATGTTTTTTTAGTTGGTTTTCAATTTGTATAGAATTTGAAAATACAACTTCCAATCTTTGTTAACTAAAGCTTGGGTTTTGTTCCAACAAATTGTTTGACTAATGAGACTTTGGGTGGAATCAGATAAACCACCGTCCAGCTGGATGATGAATCTGGAAAGAAAGAATATGTTTAATTGTAATAAGCCATTGGGAGAAATTAGACTTGTTTTAGCTATGGCTCATAATGCAAGAGGGGGGGGGAAAATGCAAAGGCATTTACTAGGAGCAAAAATCCAAAGTCTCATATTGTAGCCTGTCTGGGTGGTATGTTTATAAACTAATTAGATAGAAGGATTTGAATTATTAGACCCAAACACCTACCATGTAGAAATAGCCACTTAGTCTTTAATACTGAAAACATGTCCTTAGTCTTTTTCACATCTTAATGTAAAAAAAAAAAGTTGCTAAAAAGCCTAATGCTTAGTACACATTAAAGAGGAAAAAAAGGCAATCTGTAGCTTCTCAGAAATGCAGACATTGTCCTGTAAATCTAGAAATGTAGACATTATCCTGTAATTCTGCACTCATCCTGCTGGACTGGTTCAGTATTTGTGAAAGCTGCATGAAAAGCTGGTGAAAAAAATTCCAGCTAGTTCCAGTCCCTTAATTTGACACTGGTACTCTTTCCTCTTCTTCGTGGTAGTTTTGTTTAAGTTCTACTGGGAGAAAAGCAACCAGAAGGAACCAGCAAAGGAGAGTCAAATCCAGTAGCAGGTTCTAATTCTTACCCCCAGATTGTCTCACCTGCAAGCTGGGCATTTCTTTTCTGCAGTTCCAGCCCATTGATACCTCTTGAAGGATCTGGTAATCTCTTAACACAACGCAGTTGAAACGATTCGGTCCACATAATAAGTGGTAGGGACAGCAGAATGTTCTTGGAGCAAACCAACTGAAAAAATATCCGTGCTTAAGTTATCCGTTCAAGTGGAATTTGTTGATTCAATTTGTTCTTTTTCTTCTCCTGTCTACTTGTGTGTTTGCGCGTGTGTTTTTTCCTTGCTTCCACAGGTCCGCCTTTGTCCCCCTTATCCCTTCCTGCTCTTCTGCCTTTTCTCCTGAGTCCTTCTTCCTCTTCCTGCGCAACCCAGTCTGCATTTTCTCCTGGATTATCCTTCCTCCATGCCAGCGTTTGATCCTTGGTGACCTCTCCTTTCCCATCCATTTTTTTTTCTCCTGCCAGCTATTTGTTTCGATCCCGATCATTTCACCCCTCCAAAATTAAAAACAAAGAGGGGGAAAATCTACTTCAGCCTAATTTTATGTTGTCATCTAATCCTTATACCAAGTACTAAATGAAATTTCCTTCCCGGCAGTCCCGCTTACATTATATATCCACAAGCACGCTATCAAAACTTGCATATGTTACTGACATTCTAAATTGGTCTAGAAAGGGAATATCGTTCTCTTACTAAATATTGGTCCTTGGCTTGATGTTGGCTCTGTTCAAAATAGACTGACCTCAGAGACATTGGAGGTGATTTTTCAGCTTTATACAGGAAGTTGGCTTCAGGCCCACAGTCTATTTTTATCCCATTGAGGTTCAACTTCAAGAAGTTAAATAGGACACCGCAGATTTAAATTGCTTTGCTAACTTGCCTCTCCTGTGAAATCAAAATCACAATAGGCCCTGGCTGCCTATCAGTTTAAAAACTGATATTTTGGGCTTTTTAAAATAACAGTTCAGCACTAACATTAGCTTGTATTCTTTTCAGGAAGCAAGTCAACTTTTAAAATGCCTTTTACATTTCTTGAAAAAATAGGGCTAATATCAGTAGTTGATCTGTCCAATTATAATTGGTCCATACCACTGGTGGGATTCAAACAAATTTACTGCCGGTTCTGTGGGCGTGGCTTGATGGGCGTGGCAGGGGAAGGATACTGTAAACTCTCCAGTCAGAGGTGGTATTTGCTGGTTCTCCAAACTACTCAAAATTTCCACTACCAGTTACCCAGAACTGGTCAGAACCTGCTGAATATCACTCTGTACTGAATATGCGCAAATCAGATTGTGGGGTATTTAAATGGCCCAGTTAAATGGCCATCCACCAATCTTATGCAGCAGGAAATTATACTTGCATAGTATTTGGTGTCCCCATTGCCAGTCTCCATCATGCCAAGAACGGAATGGGACAATTCACCGCAGCCAACTGACCGTGGCCATCTTCCCACAGCCATCTTGCTACGGACAACTATCTGTGGCAATCTTGGCACAGCCATTTTGCCATAGCCAACTCGCCGCAGGACAACTCCCCATGGACCATTCCAGGTGGGATAACTCAATGTGATAAATGGTATCTGTCAGTGTTTCTTCAACATTACTTCCATTTTTGTCAATGGAAATAATGTCAAAGAAATAGTCACAGCTAACATTTATCATGTTGAGTTATCCCACTTGGAATTGTGCACAGTGAGTTGTCCTGCAGCGAGTTGGCTGTGGTGCATTGTCCTGGCACCAGTTGGCCATGGCAAGATGGTGAGTTGACCATAGCGAGTTGTCCTAGACCCTGTCAAGAAGGTCCTGGTAAAAGTCGTGTTTTTCCTTTACAGTATGCAGGACACGTTAAGGAAAGGGATTGATGGTTTCTCTTCCTCCAAGAAACTAATCAGCTGATGAAAAAATGTCCACCAGTCATTTACCCTTAATTTGAAATGAAGTTAGGATAAAGAAGAGGCACAAATATAAAATCATAGTCTTGGGAGAGACCTTGGAGGTGTTTTAGTCCAAACCCCCACCCAAGGCAGAAGACCCAAGGCAAGCAAGTTGCTGAGGGAGGCTTATCTGTTCATGTTTGGCACATAGGAGGAAATGGGATAGCACAGTATTTTGTGATCGCTGCTCACTCCCTCTCATTCTCACTCATAGGATTCCCAAGAATCAGGCTAGATAGATTTGTCCTGGGAGAAAAGAGCATCTAGAAACTTATCCTTGCAGGTTTTTTTTTTTTTTTTTTTTGCTTATTAATGACCACCAGGAAAAAAGAAAAAAAGACCAATGACTCCCATGAAATCAGATCATTTATTAACTCCTTGGGCCTTCCTTAAATCAGAAGTTCCCACCAAATGTAAGAGAACGAATGCTGAAAAAAGCACAGGAAACTATTGTTCCCCTGGCATAGCTTTCGAACATCTTGGCCTCACTCTCACCATCTGATGAGTGAACGTGGGAGAGCAAATCCCTTTCCTCCTTCTAATCTGAAATGTTAAACGTGGCTTAAAGTGCATTCCTCTCAAACGCAAAAGTAAAAATTCCCCAGCGTTCGTGCAAAACCGTTTCCTGCAAAAGCTTAAAGAATTAAGCCTCCTCCAGAGTGACTATTTGTATCGTGTTATATTTTGTTTCTATAACTCAGACGTGGATTAGATGGTCCGTTTATGTATATTTCTTTTTAATAAACTATTATTCACAGGGGGAAAGGGGCAAGAAAGGCTCTAGGGGGCCTAAAGGGGATAAGGGAGACCAAGGAGCACCTGGATTAGACGCACCCTGTCCATTGGTATGTTTCGTTTTTATCACGTGTATTATTTTAAACTAAGCCACGGGGGAAAAAAGAAGGAGTAAAGGCACTAGTAGTTTGTCTATGGAGATTCTCAATTATCAAGGTCCTGGTTGTCCCAAGGGTGTTTTTTCAAAAGGCAATTGGTCTTTCTTGTTTTTTTTCTTCCTTGAAAACATTTCAATATAAAAAAATCTTCTTGGATGAGAAATGTTAGCTTACTTTATTGTCATTGCACCTCGTACAACGAAATCAAACACCATCTTCAGTGCACATCATGACCATGAAAATAAACACAAACACGCATCCTTCACCCTCCACACATTGAATTGAAAACCCCCAACACCACACCAACACTGCACTATACAGCAGAATTCAACAGAGCTACTGCCCTGGGATAGAAGCTGTTTTTCAGCCTGTTTGTCCTTGTTTTTATTATTCTGTACCGTCTGCCAGATGGTAAAAGTTCAAAAAAAGGGTGCCCAGGATGAGATGGATCTTTGAAAATGTTTTGAACTTTCTTAAGGCAGCGGGAGCTATAAAGCTCTTGCAAAGAGGGGAGAGGGCAACCAATGATCTTCTGGGAAATGACATTAACCCTCTGGAGTGCTTTCCTATCTGCCACTGTGCAATTGGCAAACCACACAGAGGTGCAATAAGTTAAAATACTCTCTATGGTGCAGTGGTAGAAGGTCACCAGCAGTTTTTCATTCAGTTGTTGTTTTCTGAGAAGTCACAGCAGGGGTGGGATTTAAATTTTTTAACAACCGGTTCTGTGGGCATGGCTTAATTGGTGGGCGTGGCTTGATGGTCATGTGACTGGGTGGACATGGCTTGGTAGTCATGTTATTGGCTGGGTGTGGCCAACTCAATATCACTTACATCGAGGCACACATCTCCTCGCCTGGCCTCTCATGACTGTGAGGATGCTGCAACAGTCGTAAGTGTGAACAATTGTCATAAGTCACTTTTTTCAGTGCCATTGTAACTTTGAATGGTCATTCCACACAAGCAAAGTACCAGCAAAGGAGGGGGAAAAAACCCCAGAGAAGTTCCTGAGACAGGAAGTCTAGTCCTTCCAAGAATGTAATAAGGGTTAACAGAAAGGCAGTTTCTGTAAGCAACACCAGAATGTTTCCTTCCTGCCTTCCTTACAGGATTAGGCCAGTAATTTCTTCTAACAGCCTGTTCTCCAAACTGCTTAGAATGTTAACAACCGGTTCTAGCAAATAGGTGCGAACTGGTAGAATCACACCCCTGAGTCTCAGGTAATATAATCTCTGCTGGGCCCTTTTGACCAGTGCTGCAATGTGAGCACCCCAGGTCAGGTCTCTTTTATGGTAACACCCAGAAACTTAAAACTGGCCTCTTGCCTCACTCAGTCTCCATTGATAAGCAAGGACTGGATGTCTGATCTGTTCCTTCTATAGTCCACTATAAGCTCCTTGGTCTTATTGGTGTTGAGGACCAAGTTATTGTCTCCATACCACGAAAGCAACCAGTCCATCTCATCTCAGTAGGATGACAAGTGAGATGCTTTCAAGGAAAAAAAAAACCAAGAAAATCCAGTAGCCTTTTGAAAAAGCACTTTGGGGCACTAATCATTGATTATATTACAAGACTGACTTTATTCATCTGTATGATTGGATATGGAAAGAAATATAAATGAAGTTTTTGTAACACCTGGATTCCCCCAAAAAAGTAGAAAAACGTAAGCTTTCTTCACTTGCTTCTTTAAACATTAAGGCCAGTTCATCCTCACAATTTGAGTGTCTTAGCTTGGCTAGGTGAATTGTGTTGCACTGTTGTGTCATGATACAATATGAAAGTTGGGCACTGCAGTTGGATCTGCAATATGTTCAAGTCATCACTTGAGGCTATAGTTATTGGGTGAACGTGCCTAAATCACAATCTAAAACGCCTTCTTTTTTCCCCATGATCATTTAATAAATGATGCAATTAATGTATGGTTGATGAGGATGTAATGCACTCAGTTTATGATCCCAGCAGACAACAAAAGGATCGTGGTGTGAAGAAAAGGAGAATACTCTTGATGTAAAACTATTTTATTAATGGTCTTTTAAAAGACCCCACCACCACCACATACTCCTATTTAAAGCTTAATTTCAAACATGGACCACTTTGTAGAAATTTTTACCATTGGTTCTTTACCTTCTATATCCAGAAGGAAATCATATTTTTCCAACTTTTTACAATTAAATAATACTTTCTGGTTATTCCAGAAAACAAACCAAAAGCGGCTTATCCTTTTTTCACCATGATATACAAATATCCTGGGGCTGTAAGCTAAGTGCATTTAGTACGTAATTGTTTACAGAGTTTCTCCACTCAGAAAATGCAGATCATCTACACTGACCAAAGTAATTCTAGTGGTTGATTTCATGAACAGGGACTCCGAGGTTTTAAAGGCGAGAAGGGTGAGCCGGGGTTACCAGGGCTGGACGGGCTGGATGCCCCTTGCCCATTGGTATGGTGTTACCTTCCCTTTCCTGCATGTTCTAGATTGTGTTGATTCACCTGCTCTTGCCAAATCTCTTTCCTTTCCCTTCTGGCTGCTTTCCAGATCATTGATGCTCAGGGTGCTTCTAGGCAGATATTTTTATTATCTGACCCTTCAACAGTCCTTTTTTAAATCGAGATAAAAGATGGAAGGGGGGGTGTTATGAGTCTTCATAACAAGCAAGGGTCTTATGAGTCTTCATAACAAGCAAGGGTCTTATGAATCTTCATAACAAGCAAGGGTCTTCAAACTTGGCAAGTTTAAGACTTGTGGGCTTCAACTCCCAGAATTCCTGAGCCAACATGACTGGAGGTGGAATTCTGGGAGCTGAAGTCCACAAGTCTTACAGCTGTCAAGTTTTAAGGAAAAGCAAGCAAAGATTTGAATGGAAGATGAGTGTCAGAATCTCCCTTATGGATAGAGTATAATTACACAGCAAACATGGGGCCAGAAGCACCCCAAGCATCGTGCTTGACTGCTTTGGAAATGACTTAGTTGCTACTACCATTTTCCTTGCCCTACAAGAGTCAATCCTGGATTTAAAAAGCTTCAGACTTGCTTTACTTCTTTCTTAACCCAACTCTCACAACATTTCTTGTTTACTCCTCTAAAACCTTCGTCTGCACCCAAAACACCTGGTTGATCCAGATGGAGAGAAGAGGGCTCTTTGAAAACCCACCAGCCCAAATCATAAATTTGATCATTTATATCATTTGTTCTTGTTCTTATTTATGGAAGTAGTTTCCAGTCAAGAACTTCCTCTCAGAGGTGATAATATCAAATTATTTTATTAAAAAAATCTGTGCTGTCTTTCACTCATACAAGTAAGATCTAGGACAAAACTCGGATAAAATAATTGTAAACAAAATACAATGAAACATAATAAATAATTTCGATTATTTTATCCGAGTGTTGTCCTAGCTAGATCTTACTTAATAAATAAACTGACATAATAAATGTTACCTGTGTTTAGCTTATTTTGTTTTGAAATAATCTCCAGGTGTTCTGATAGGACTGTTAACCCTTTCTGCACCAACTCTTTCTGTATTATGTTGGAGCAGTTCGCTTCATTTGGGAATAAGATCCCAACAGTCATTTGCACTATTTATCTGGGGGGTGAACACAGGGAAATCATTTGGTTTAGTTTGTTTTCATCAAAATGAGAAGCCTCCTTGAAGTGACAGAAACACACAACAATAGAAATTGTTATAGAAAAAATCCTGTTGCTTTTCCAATCTTATTTTGAGCATTGTTTGGTAAAAACATACAATATTGGATAATTCCATCTTTCCTTAGGGGCAAATTTAAACCCTTAATCATCCATGTAAGTTTTTAAAATACACAAATTAATTGAATGCACCATTGCATAGGATATGCATAGGGTAAATGTTGAACAACATATGGAATATAAAATGGATCAGGTTAGCTGGAAATATTACTGAGAATCGGATAAGGTTCTCAATAGCACTTTTAGCATGGAAACAAAGAATTTCATCAAGGAATCTGGATTAAAATCTCAAATTCTAGTTATTTAAAAGCCTAACCATTTTTGCTCATTCTGCATACACTGTAATTTAAACAATTAATGTTTGCTTTGGGGGCAATTTGGAAATCACATCCTTGCATGTATCTGACTGAATATTTTGATTGTCACAGTGAAACCTCAAAAATGTTCAACACTTCTAATTTCAAAAAATGAAAAGTCTGATATTTTTAGGACTAGTTCCAATTACTTTGTTGCCAAATTTTCTGTAGGATAATCTACATTTATTGGTGTCATTTTGTAAAAGACATACATATATATCCATCATTCATGTAGGTCCAGAAATACATTTTGTAAAACAAAACAAAACAAAACAAAACAAAGCATTAAGAATGACAGTTTTTTCTTCTTTACATTCTTAAATTAATATGCTTTCTGACTCAAGCATGCCAGCTACTTAACATTTGCCTTGCATTCTGTGCAAATTTAGTGATTATGCTTTTTCAACTTAATTTTTCCTTTTTACTAGTGTATGTTTCCATTCCCAGCCTTTGCAAAGAAATATACTTTTGTGACCATATCCTGCTGTTGTTCCCTGAGTTGTAACCCCTGTCACACTCTCTAACTTTGGGGTTTATGTGCAATGCACTATATAATTCATTCCCATCAATGGGATCATTGTACCAATGGAATCTGCTTCCACTTCTTAATAGAACCGTAGCACTTGAATTTTACAGCTGTGAATATTAGGAAAGTGTTTGATTTAGAAAGCACCTGATAATGTAAAGGCCAAAATTGTTACTTAAGATGCTTCCATGCAAGGATTATTGCACCAGCTCTGGTTCTCTGTAATCCCAGGATGTCCTCAGCAGTGTTTGGGATTGGAGTCAATTTATCTCAAACTCAACCACAATGTATTTGAAACTGCCACACAGCAGCCTTTCTCTTTTACCTTTTCCTGGAAATCATGTAAGTATATGGAACAAGTGGACAGGCTAGTTCCCCTGAGTGGAATCTCTTAGTACCACACATATTCTGGCAAGGATTTTAAAGGAGAATGGGAACTTGAGGGTTTTGCAGCTCTCCTCACAAAACCATCTTTTTATTTGAGAAGGGCACATAAACAGATAAATCCATACAACGTGAACGTTGTGTTGGTATCCACATATCCATTGCCCTATCAGGAGTCCCTGAGTGTATCTTCCCTCTGCATTGAGTTATACTGGTAGTCCTCGACTTACGACCACAATTGAGCCCAAAATTTCTTTTGTTAAGCTCTCGAGATAGTTGTTAAGTGAGTATTGCCCCATTTTTATAACCCTTCTTGCCACTGTTGTTAAATGAATCACTGCAGTTGTTAAGTGAATCTGTCAACTAAAAAGATACTCCTTTGGTCTTTTGGGCTGCCAGAAAAAGGGAGTGGGGGAAAACAAGGCATTCCTTAAATGCCTAGATAATCACCTCGGCAGCCCAACGTTGTCGGAGCATAAGAAGGTTATTGGAGAGCATGATGGATGACTCTTGGAGATGGATGTGTCCCATTGGACAAGTCACATCCAGGGTGTGGGGGGAAGTCCAGGGTCAAGGGGGAAATGTATGATGTAATTTAGTATCGGCTGCACCCAGCCACACGCCAACATAGCAACCTCTAATAAATCAATTTACTTTTCTCTGAGATGCGGCTAGAGACTTTTGAATTGAATGAGGGTGGATTTGTTGGAGCCCTGACAGCCAGCCGATACTATATCTAACATCTGACATCTGGCTTCCTCATTGACTTCACTTGTCAGAAAGTCACAAAAGGTGGCCATTGTGACCTGGAAACACTGCAACTGCCATAAATACGAGTCATTTGCCAAGCATCTGAATTTCAATCACGTGGCCGTGGGGAGGCTGCAGCAGTCTTAAATGTGAAAAAGGGTCATAAGTCGCTTTTTTCAGTGCTGTTGTAACTTCAAATGGTCCCTAAATGAATAGTTGTAAGTAGAGGACTACCTGTGCTCAGAAGCCTAACAAGGAACATTTGAAGGAAAGGCTTGATCTTTCTCAACCAGTAATAGCTCCATCCTTGAAGTGGTCTTCACAGCCATCACAGGAATTAATGGGAAGCCTTTCTGGTTTTGGTGGCCCTAGATTTCACATACCAGTAGATCGTAGTGGAAGGCTCAACGTCAATTCAATGATGGGGAACTTGGACGTGTATATTTTGCGATATAGAACTTAGCATCACTTTGGCATCCACTCTCTAAGCAAGGTGTATTTCATTAGGTCAACTTAATTGTTTTGCATGCTTGTACAGATTCTACGTTTATAATTTTCCCCCCCTGTTTTAGTCTCTTCCTCTGTCCTGATTATATAATTCTTTCTTGTAGGGGGAAGATGGATTGCCAATTCAAGGATGCTGGAATAAGGTAAAAATTCCTCAAAGTATAGCATGTTGTGATACTGGTTTTATTGCATGTTGTGAATATAGTAACAAATTATAAAGCATGAAAGTTGTATAGCAACATATTACCTTTCTATTTAGTACCATAGGTATATGACAGTTACATTCAATATTACATGTTGATTAGGGCAAAATGATACAAAAATTTTTTCTCGTGAGATGCTACTCAACTTTTTGAAGGAAGTTCATTAACTCTGGTGGGGATTTTATCTTCTGAGGGTGGTAGCAGTTCGGAATTCAGAAGAGAAAATTTGTGTGCCTCTTAACTCTCAAGGGATTCGGTGGCTCAATGGCTAAGATGCTGAGCTTGTCGATCAGAAAGGTCAGCAGTTCAAATCCCTAGCACCATGTAATGGAGTAAGCTCCTGTTACTTGTCCCAGCTTAGCAGTTCGGATCAGTGGTGGGATTCAAATTTTTCCACTACCGGTTCTGTGGGCGTGGCTTGGTGGGCATGGCAGGGGAAAGATACTGTAAAATCTCCAGTCAGAGGTGGCATTTGCCGGTTCTCCAAACTATTCAAAATTTCCACTACTGGTTCTCCAGAAGTGGTCAGAACCTGCTGAATACCACCTCTGGTTTGGAAGCATGTAAAAATGCAAGTAGAAAAATAGGGACCACTTTGGTGGGAAGGGAACAGTGCTCTGTGCGCCTTCGGCGTTTAGTCATGCCAGCCACATGCCCACGGAGACATCTTCAGACAGCGCTGGCTCACAGAGATCAGCACCGGCCCCTAGAGCCGGAAACGACTAGCATGTATGTGCAAGGGGAACCTTTACTTTTAAACTCACAAAAATGGCTGTTTAAAACAGAAGCGATTCCTCACAGACAGATTCCAGAGTTTGAGTGTATAATTCAATATCACACCAACATTTTTAACATTTAGAAAAATTTCCATGAATCTAATTATCTGTATTTAGATAGTATTATATGTAATACTATTCAAAAGTACCACAAATTCACAGGATTATATTGTATGGATCAATGACCCCTTAATTTTTTACACCTCCAACGGGATGGGTGATACTAACATAGTTTTATATGTTTTTCTTTTGCAGTGAATATTCTAACCATGGACTGGCCTGTGTGTCTGTGTGTATGTTTGTGCATAGAATATTTATTTTTATACATTGTTCTTTTTTGAAATGCCAACAGATATGCATAAAATGCTGCATATTTTTGTACATAAGATGCTACAATTCTGCTTTATAGCTGTCTGCCAGTTGCTTGTATAATTATATATATGTCGATAACCATGCTTTTTGCATTGTGGAATTCAGCTGCAATATTGGCATGATATTTGTGCACTCAAAGTACATGCCAAAGCTTAATAAGCTATTGGATAAGGATGCCAGAAAGAACCATTAAATGTACAAACAAAGACACAAAAAAATGCCAATGAGTGCAAGGACATATCAAAATACTATGGATTTTTATTATTAAAAGGAAATGAAATAGAATTTGTAAATAAATTCTATATTGGTATTTTAATGTGCAAAATGAAATCAATGTAGTAAGAGGTAACAGTGGCAATTCATCTTCACTTTCCCTTACACACAAAGGGTAGAAGCACAACATTGTTCAAAAGTGAGAATAACAAACTAGTCATATGTATATACACCCTAAAAAGGTTCCTAATGTCTTTAATGGGTCAAGATCAAGTCGATTTTTTCCTATCAGATTCTGAACAGAAGCACAATTTTTGATGCAAAATTACAGAGATCTTAAATTTAGCAAATAATGGAAATTTCTAGCTTTGTACATAGCTTTTCAAGAGATTCAGGAACTATGCAGAATGAGCCTTCAGAGGCAAGGACTATCAGGAGCGACCCTGGTCCTGTGCTCCTTCCTCCATAAATTTCAATTTTTACAATATCCTTGTGCCGCTGGGTCCATTTAATGCTCCCTTGAAGGAAATTCTTTAAGGGCAACAATGCAGAAAAGAAGAAGCTAACAGACACATCCTTTTCTCAGAACTGGAGATATTTTGTAAAGAACTGGAAGGGAAATGGTATACACTGCTTTCTCCCTGCCTCATAATCTCAGCATCAAGCTAAATAGAATTTGGAAGATTGTCATAATGGGTTAGGATTACCATTATTAAGAGCCGTAGTGGCGCAGTGGTTAGAAGGCAGTATTGCAGGCTGACTCTGCCTACTAACAGTTCGATCCTGACCTGCTCAAGGTTGACTCAGCCTTTCATCCTTCCAAGGTCAGTAAAATGAAGACCCAGATTGTTCGGGGGAAATATGCCGACTCTGTAAACCACTTATAGAGGGCTGTAAAGCACTGAGAAGTGGTACATAAGTCTAAGCGCTATTGGTATTGCTATTATTCAAAATGCATTCAAAGAGATTTGAGTCGAGGGAAATTTTGTATTGCATGTGTGCATTTCAATCCCAACAGCTATAAGTGATCGCCATGAAAGATCAGGACTGTAGAAGAAACAGAAATTACACAGTATCATTTTCTTTGACTCACATAAACTCTTTCTAAAGCTACCATTTCTTGGGCCCATTCATTTCTATTTCTTCTGGGCAGCTGGCAGCTTGAGGAAAAGCTATTCAGCAAAAATAGTCCCACAGCAGTTCTATTAATCCCCTGAACCACAAGATGGGTGGCAAATAAATTTGATAAACAAGTAAATAAATAAATATTACTCTGTTTTCGTGCCTTCTATCATAATTATAAGAACTCCGATTGCCAAATTGTAGCTGTGTCTTTGGTGATCTCGGTGAATAGTTTACACCAGTGTCTCTTAAACTTTTTGAATCTCAGGATTCCTTCCCACTTTTAAAAAATATGGTAGATCCCAAAAGAGATTTTGGTTGTATGGATTATATTTATCGAATAGAATAGAATAGAATAGAATAGAATAGAATAGAATAGAATAGA